CCCCCCCCCCCCCCCCCCCCGGTACAGTTATTTTTTGTGTGTTTGTTTGGATCTTCAACATAATAATATAGCCCTAGCCCCCCAGTATATTAATAAAGCTTCAAGTTTCTTTTTTAACTGGAAAAAAGAATGTGTTTGTATTATATGTGATGATGCATCACACCATCTTCCTCCCCACCTTTTCAAAATCCTAGATCTCATGCCCACGCTCCCAAAAGCCCCTGTGGTCCCTTCCTAGCTCTGTCACGGTGTCATGGTATGGCCTTGAGCCAGTCACTTCACTCCTTTGTGCTTCAGCTTCAAGAGAAAAGTGCAGCTAATGTTGGTTCCTGACAAGGAGGTTTGAGGCTTCAATGCTATTTGCAAAGCCCCCTGATTTTCTTGAACTACTGGTACCCAAGAAGAATAAAGTATAAACAATAAAGAAGTGTCCACATTTCAACCTCCATATATTTAAGGGTGAAAAAGTTCAGCTAGGTTTAAAATAATTCACCTCACACCCAAATTTACCTCCCCCCCACCCCTTTTTTTCTTTCTTTACAGCTGCATTTATACTCTGCAAACCAAACAAACAATGCTGCAATGATCACAAGCTCTTGTGAGAGCAGCAGCTGGTAGAAATCCTCCATGAGGGAGGGGGTTCTGCATTAGCTGAGATTAAAGCATCCCAGTTTTAGAGTGTTCTCTGAATTTATCTCAAACTCTAAATCTTTTAAGGTTCACCTATCTCCTGTTGCCATTAGAACCGTACCACATGCCAAAGAATCACAAATTTACTTTGGGAAGGTTCCCAGAACTATAGCAGCTCATATTCATTCTCTAGGCAGTTTCTGCTAACGTGCTGATGCATCAGCCTCGCGGCATCAACTTGAAGGAAGGAATTTTGTCTTCAAGAAAATTGTGCATCAATTTGGCAATTGTGTTGTGAAATAGATTTAGCTATTACCAGCAGTTTCCTAAAGCCAGATGGAGGGCTCCTAGCTTCCTACCACAATGTGTTGTATGGGGCCAAGGCTTGCAGGGTAGAACTTTATTGAAATGCAGCCATTTGCAAGACACAGGCCACAGCTACATGAGTGGCAGACTGATCAGTTTTTGCTGTGAAGTCATTTAGTACCTGCATTTAGTTCTTGCTGTGCAGTCATTTAGTGCAGTACTGTCACCGTACGGTTCTTTTCAGGCACTACTGCTCAGTAGCAATGAGCTACCGTGCAGTAGCTTGTTACTACTGCGCAGCAGTGGTGCATCACGGTTACTGCCTAGGAAATGACCTGCTGGGTGGCACGGAAGCGGAAAGGGATCTTGGAGTCCACTAGGACTCCAAGATGAACATGAGTTGGCAGTGTGACGAAGTCATCAGAAAAGCTAATGGCACTTTATCGTGCATCAGCAGATGCATGACAAACAGAACCAAGGAGGTGATACTCCCCCTCTATCAGGCACTGGTCAGACCGCAGTTGGAGTACTGCGTGCAATTTTGGGCGCCACACTTCAAGAGGGATGTGGATAACCTGGAGAGGGTCCAGAGAAGGGCCACACGTATGGTTAAGGGCTTGCAGGCCAAGCCCTATGAAGAGAGACTAGGGCACCTGGACCTCTTCAGCCTCCGCAAGAGAAGGTTGAGAGGCGACCTTGTGGCTGCCTATAAGTTCATCACGGGGGCACAGAAGGGAATTGGTGAGGTTTTATTCACCAAGGCGCCCTTGGGGGTTACAAGAAATAATGGCCACAAGCTAGCAGAGAGCAGATTTAGACTGGACATTAGGAAGAACTTCTTCACAGTTAGAGCGGCCAAGGTCTGGAATGGGCTCCCAAGGGAGGTGGTGCTCTCCCCTACCCTGGGGGTCTTCAAGAGGAGGTTAGATAGGCATCTAGCTGGCGTCATCTTGACCCAGCACTCTTTCCTGCCTATG